GGGAAAAGAGCAAACAGAAGCTTTCGATCAGGTACGCTCTTGTTTGATCGCCGCGCCTACATTGTCGTGTCCGGACTTTTCCGTGCCGTTCGTCATACAAACCGATGCGAGTTTCGTAGGGTTAGGTGCCGTACTAACGCAAAATATTGACCGAAACGAAAATGTCATTGCTTTTGCCAGTCGTGCGCTATCCGATGCCGAAAAGAAATACTCGGTAACAGAACAAGAATGCGTTGCCGTCATCTGGGCGATTAAAAAGTTCCGACCTTATTTAGAAGGCTACAGATTCACTATTGTGACCACAGTTGTTTACGTTGGTTGAATAATTTGAGAAACTCCACCGGTCGTCTAGCGAGATGGGCTATCGAGTTATTAGAATACGACTATGAGATCTTGCATAGAAAAGGCGCACTACACCACGTGCCGGACGCGTTATCACGCATGTACGAGAGGAAGGCCGAATCGTCTTTGGTCACAGCAATCGACGACGCCGCGGAAAACAGCAATGACGAAATTGAAACAGAGAATGTATGGTACCGACAACGTTATCGAGAGATTAAAGATCGCGTTAGAAAATTTACGGATTGGGAAGTCCTGAACAGACAATTATATTATTTACGCCCACGTGCCGTTATATCTGATATCGTAGAGGATTTAGATCGCTGGAAATTAGTCTTTCGCCGCGTGAATTACGAAATGAAGCCCTTATCGAAGCTCACAGAGATACGCAAGCAGGACACTTGGGGGTAGAGAAAACATATCAAAAGTTAGCAGTGGCATATTACTGACCGAATTTGTTCAGAGATGTAGCTGCGTTTGTGCGCGGATGTGAGGTGTGCCAGAAAGTTAAGGTTGAACAGGCAAATCCTGCCGGATTGATGGGACGTCGCATCTCCGACGGACCCTGGATTATGGTCGCTGCTGACGTTATGGGTCCCTTGCCGCGTAGTAAATCGCGTAACCGGTTACGCGTATGTTTTAGTAATACAAGATCTTTTTACTAAATGGGTGGAATGTCGAGCTTTGCGTACCGCGAATGGAAAGAATATTGTAGAAGCACTAGAAGACTTGTTAATCGCACGGTGGGGCACGCCGCAATTTTTGCTCACGGATAATGGGACCGAGTTCGTAAACAACACGCTGAAAAATTTTGCCAACTCGCACGGGATAAAACATACTACTGTACCGCCATATCACCCTCAGGCAAATCCGGTGGAACGGGTGAACCGTATATTAAAAACTATGATAATCGCCTTTTTAGACCGAGATCAACGGGAGTGGGATCGCTATTTGAGAGATTTTTGCTTCGCGTATAACACCGCGCACCACTCATCGACGGGTGCATCTCCCGCATTTCTCAATTTAGGTCGCGAATTAATGCCGGTTTATTCGTTAAGACGTCGCCTAGTAGATGGTGCCGAGATAGCGGAACAGCCGTCGGAAAAATGGTCACAGCGTATGGAGCAATTAGCGAGTTCACGATCATGGGTACAAGAAAACCTCGAAAAAGCATATAGTAAACAGGCAAAATCGTATAATGCACGCCGACGAAACGTTACTTACGAACAAGGCAATCCTGTCTGGAAAAGAAACAGAATTTTGTCATCCGCAGCACAAAAAATCGCCGCGAAGCTAGCTCCCAAGTATCAGGGCCCACACAAGATAAGTAAGAAAATTTCGTTCGTGGTTTATAAATTGGTAGGGTTAGATGATACCCCGATGGGTAAAGTTTACGTGAAAGATTTAAAACCTTATCACGAATCCCTCCTAGANAATCCCCCTGGGTAAAGGTACTCCTTTGGTGTTTCCATTTATTGTACAGGTGTCAGGTCTTGGTTTGTACGGTGCCGCTAAACACAGGTGCCGCCGAAAATTATCAAGAATGGCGGAAGGAAACTCCTTCAAAAAGATATATCAAAAAGTGGACACCTACGTCAGAGAAGGCATGCAGCGATATCGAGAAGAACAACAACAAAGGAAACAAAAATGGCAAGAACGAGAACAAAAAGCCCTTGAGTGGTGGGAGCGAGAACAGCGTGTAGAAAAGGAACGACAGGAGAGAAGCAGGCAGGAAGAGCGAGAACGGCGAGAGCAAGAGAAACGAGACGAGCAAGAACGGCAAGAGAGAGAGAGAGAAAAGAAGAAAGGGAGTGACAGGAGCGACAGGAAAGAGAGCGGAGAGAAGAAGAAAAAAATAGAGAAAGGCGTGAACACCTACAAAGGATACTCCGGGAAAAACAGGAGAAGGAGGAGCGTCAGGAAAGAGCACACCAAGAAGAACAAACAAAACCAGGTCTCCTCCGTCGAATGACCATGGAACTGGAAGCGCGGGAACGGAACGCTCGCAATGAAAGACTGTGGCAGGTAATAGACCGAGAAATAGAACGTGCCGAACGCGCTCACGAACAGCGACTACGAATGGACTTGGAACGAAGACACAGAGACAGAGCGGAGCGAGAAAGACGGGAAAGAGCGGAACGAGAAAAACAAGAACAAGAGCGTAAAGAACAATTACAGCGAGAAAGACAGGCCCAGGAACGACGAACACGAGCTGAGCAAGAAAGAAATGAGAGAGCAGCACAGGAACGACAGAGGAAAGAGCGAGAGAAACAAGAACGCAGAGAACAGGAACGGAGAAAAACACAAAATCGTGAAAGGATGGCTCAAGAACAGCGGGCCAGAGAAGAACAAGCCCAGCTAGAAATAGAAGAGAGAAAGGAGAGAGAACAACGAGAAAAGGAGAGGCGAGAGGAACGAGAACGACGAGAACGACAAGCAAGAGAGCGATAAAAACGAGAAAGAAGAGAAAGAGAAAGGCGTGAGCAAGAACAGCGAGAGGAACAAGCTCGCCTGGACCGCCTTCGCATGATGGCTCCTCGAGTAAAAGACCCCCGCCCCGAGTACCACCTGCAGCCAACCACCTCCTATTGGAATTGTGGCGAAGCAGGCCACAAATATTTAAATTGTCCGAAAGGAANGGGAGAAAGAAGATTTTTTTAGCTGCGGCAACCTCGACGTAACCATCCGCGGTTGCAGCAAATGTTCAGATGCATGGGAAAAGTACGATCGACTAGAGCAAAAACCCCGCTAAGACTCGTCCCGCCAACTGCCGAATTTCTGCCGACCTGCCGTGATCTTGCAAAGAAGCTGCCTACTGCCTTGCCGAAACGCCACCGGACCTCACGATGAAGTGCCGTTCTCCCACGAGCAACCGTGCCATAGCCAAACACCAAAGACGATATGTTCCTGTCACGAACTCTTTATGTGCCATTCTCTAGGAGATAAGATATTCTACACATTCCGTTACATTACTTTATTGATAATATTTCATGTAACTTTTTTTTGTCTCCATATGTTAAAGTAATCCTTATAGTGGTACCGATTTATTCTTGTTTATAGTGGATATATTTGTTTACCGTCCATATAATTTTGTTTTTTTTTTTTTTTGGTCTTCTATAAAACCCTTAACAGTATATTTTTTGTGTACCTCAAAGTGCGTGAGTAAGACGTATTTGTCTGTAACAATAAATGTATTTTTTTCATGTTGAGATAACGTTATTCCTGTCGTTTACCGCCACCTCCATCCTAAGTCCCGACAAAATGCAAAAAAAAAGAAAGAGAAAGGATGTCGTAAAAATTCAATACATCCGTTTTGCTGTATCGGAGATACGACCGCCGTTCGACGCAACCTCCGCGACAATTCGTATAACCAGACCCTACCGATAAGATGTTGCGGGGGGAGAACGAACTGGTGAGTGCTTTTGTCTTGGTGTTACATTGAATTTAGACCTCTTCGGTCCTCCTTGGGTAGGGGGGAGTTGTGACGTGACACCTTTTTGGTGTCCGTCACAGGATAATTAATACGGCCGCACGGAGGGCGGTAGGCCCGCGTCTTTCATTATTTAGAGAGAGCGACCTATCTTGTATTGCGTGGCGCCTCGTAGGACGCCGATTTTCGTGTATCGAAGCAGCTGCCGACTATAAGCGAAACGCGCGCTGATCGCGCGCTCGCGATTACGTTTTTCTGTACAAATTTTGGTCATTTATGTAAAGCGAGCCGCTGTGCAGCTAATTGTTTTGTGTGTGTGTCGTCCCGTCAGTTACAGCGATTCGAGGGAGAAGAGCTAATTACAAGTCAGTCTCACGAGAAAGAGAGAGCAGAAACCGAACGAACAGCCAAAAGACAAGTTTTATGCAATGATGATAATAATATTACAAAGAAAGTAGTGGTCTTCCGCACTACCCATGAGGTGCCACTAATAGCGCGTTAGGTTTTTTAACGTGGATCTTCGCCTGT